AATATAAACCCTATTTAATTCCTTATATTAAATAGGGGAATTTGTCGGCCAATACATTGGTTTCGCAGACCAAACGGATGTCATAACTTTCTTTAGTTTATTTGATCAAGCCTTACCCTCAATTCTTGTGTTCATCCTTCGGGATGGATACAGGATTTGAGGTAAAGCGCTCTTTCATCTAAACTATGAAAATTATGGGGTCAGTTTGACTTTATCTTTTTCAAAACTAAAATTTTTTAAAATGTCTTTCCGAAGCGGGCAACGGGATTTCTATTTCGATGACCGACAGCTTCTTACGGGCAAACCCCACACCAAAAATAGTGTCGACAATATATGAGCAAATTAATCACTATGTACATGTTGTGACCTTAACTCCAATCTCTCCATCTAAAATTAAAAGTTTAGGGGTCAAAGAAGTACATGGTGAAGATAGAAATCCTATCAAGTTTCAACTTGGTTTTGCTTCTTCTAGTTTTGAGACCAATGTAAAACTAGAAGATGAAAATCTCTTGAATTTAATGGAACTCCCTGTTGAACTTTATTCTTTGTATATTCAAAAACTTATTCAAAATGGTTTGATGCCTAAACAATGGTCATTAGACCAATCTTACCTTTTTGAACAATTATGGAATAATAGAAAACAAAATCCTAACTCTAAAGAAGGTATTGGATTTAGTATGCTAGAATCTCTAGATGATACAAAATTTTGCCTGGTTGTCACAGAAGGGTCTAATTCCGACCAAACACTTGGTTTTTCAATTGAAGATGCACCACCAGAATTTGAAGAATAAATTAATTCAACAGTGGATGAACTGAAAGAAATAAACTTGGGAATAAGAGAGGATCCAAAACTAACTTTTATTAGTTCATTCCTTAACAAAATCAAAGCGAAAGAAATAATTCAACTGTTAAGAGAATACAAAAAGTGCTTTGCTTGGAGTTATGACAAAATGCTAAAACTCGCTCCAGAAGTTTCAGTTCATAAACTCGGGATAAACTAAATCGCAATCCCTGTTAAACAAGCTCCAAGAAGGATGTCTATTGAAATCAAACATCAAGTCATTGCCGAGGTTAAGAAATTTATTGATGTCGGCTTTGTCCGAGAGGAAAAATACCCAACCTGGCTGGCCAATTTAGTGCAGATAAAAAAGTAAAATGGTCAGATCCAAATCTGTGTAGATTTTAGAGATCTAAACAAGACTTGTCCAAAAGATGAATTTCCTCTACCAATTCTAGAGTTAAAGGTAGATATTGCATCTACACATGCAATATTCTCATTTATGGATGGATCATCAGGTTACAACCAAATCAAAATGTCTCCAGAAGATTAATCGAATACAACTTTCAGAACGCCCAGTAGGATATACTACTATAAAGTAACATCATTAGAACTAAAGAATGCTGGCGCCATGTACCAGTGGGCTATGACACGAATTTTTGGTGAACTTACCCATAATTAGGTCGAGTGCTACGTGGATGACTTAGTCTTTAATAGTAAACAAAAGGATGACCATGTGAACGATTTGAGAACCGTCTTCGAACAATTACAACAATTTTATCTTAAAATAAATCCCCTAAAGTGTGTTTTTTGTGTCACCTCAGGGAAGTTTTTAGGATTTATGGTTCGAGATTGTGGGATTGAAATTGACCCTGTAAAAATTGAAGCCATTTTAAACATCCTCCTCTGAAAAATCTGACCCAATTATGATCTTTCAAGGGAAAATTAACATATTTAACACATTTTATTTTCAATCTATCAGGTAGGTGTCAACCTCTCACTGTCTTAACCAGAAAAGACGTCAGATTTGTGTGGGATGACAAATGTCAACACGCCTTTGAAAATATCAAACAATATTTGACAACAAGTTCTGTTTTAGCGGTCCCTATTTTGGGAAGACCTCTAATCCTTTACATTGCAGTATTAGATAACTCCCTCGGAGCCTTGCTAGCCTAAATTAATAACGAGGGTAACGAAATTGCATTATAGTACTTAAGTCACTACTTGGTCCCAACTAAAATAAAATATCCTGTAACTAAGAAGCATTGCTTAGCTTTGATCTTCGTAGTTCAAAAGTTAAGACATTACATGCTATCTCATAAGATAATTCTTATCTTAAGGGTTAACCCTTTACAGTACCCAATGACTCGACCAACACCTTCTAGAAGATTAGTAAGATGGGCAATGATATTACTTTAATATGATATTACATTTGTACTGTTACGCGTTGTCGAAGGACAAATTTTGGTTGACTTTTTAGCGGTACACCCCATACCGACTAGGTTTCCACTTAACGATGATTTACTCGATAAGCAAATTTTGGAACTTGAAAGTTCTAAAACTCAACGATGGGAATTATACTTCGATGGAGCTTCATCTGCTCGTAAAGACAAGGACAAAGAAAGAACTATATCTGATAAGACAAGAGTATGATTGATTTTCATCAATCCCGATAAAGATGATGTCGTTTTCTTACCACTTAGCCGAACCATGTACAAACAATAAAGCTGAATATGAGGCACTCATAACCGGCTTAAAGTTGGCGATATTAATGAAAATTAAAAGTATTGACATCTATGGAGACTCTCAACAGATTATAAATCAAATCACTGGAAAGTATAGGACTTTGAAACCAAGACTTAGAGCAATATTTTTGTTATACTCTGAAATTACTATAACAAAAATGTAACGTTTTTCCTAGTTCTGAGACTAGACAACTCTTTAGCAGACACTTTAGCCAAACTTGCAAAAGAATTTGCTTGTTCAGAAGAGTGACATTCCAATTTCCGTAAAAAGACAACATGTTCTCTCTCAATTGGACATCGATAATCTCTGCAAAAGTGGTGAGGACACAATGATACCAGTTGTTGATAAAGAGGAATACTATTGGCGACAACAAATTATTAAATATCTACAAACCAGAAATTTACCAGAAAATAGTTCTGTTGCAACTCAAATTAAATAGCGAGCATTGTTCTATGCTCTGGTGAATGATGCCCATCGCCAGTTATCTTTTGATCAGATGTGGTAAAGATATTTAAACCAATATGAGGCTCCAGTCATTATTAAAGAAGTTCATTTAGGTCTTTGTGGTGTGCACCAGTCAGGACCAAAAATGAAGATGAAAATAAAATGGATGGGATATTATTGGCTGACAATGATGGTCGACTGCTTTGAAACTGCAAAGAAATGCCATCAATGTTAGGTGCATGAGGTGGTCTTACATCAACATACAAATGTGCTACATCTGACAATCACATCTTGGTCGTTTGAATGTTGGGGCACAGAAATAGTGGGCTCTATAGACCCTCCATCATCCAAAGGTCATCGTTTAATTCTAGCTGCTACGAATTACTTCTCCAAATGGGCAGAAGCAGTGCCACTCAGGGAAGTCAAAGTAGATCAGATCCTCCATGAAATTGAAATTAATAATAAATGTTGTGATAATAGGTGTGGTAATGTAAATATAAAAGGTAATGATAAATTAAATACTTAGAATGATATATTAAATGTTGTGATAATAGGTGTGGTAATGTAAATACAAAAAGGAAGAATTTGTTTTTTTTTTGTTGATGCTACAAGTTGATGACTTAACATTGGTTTTGCAAGTACTTTTAACAAATATGTAGGCAAAGCTGAAGGCTAGCTGATGGACTTATTTACTGACGTCTAACCAACACCGAATTGGCGGCTTAAGTTTGACATACAAAAAAGATGGACATGACACTTTTTTGATGGTTAATCCGTCGGGGAAAAAAAAACCAACGCATCAGCGACACATCACTGCCAATTTTCCTGCATAAAAAAATTGACGGGCGCAACACTTTTTGACGTGTAAACTGTCGCTTTTTCAGATGGAGTAATTGTCGGTTCTATGAACCAATAGAAATCGACAATTTAAATTTCCTCAAAAAAAACTACAACATTAAATTATCGAAAATACGTCAATAATTTCATGTCGTCGGAATATGCATTGGTTTGGAAATTACCGACAAGTGTTTTACCTACGAACTTAAAGCTGTTAATAGACCTTCAGAAATGATAAAAGCGACAGTATTTTTCATCAAAGCCAACGGAATTTGGCCGTCGAAAAATACTATTATTCCTTTAGTGTATTAAAGAACAGTATTTGCTTTGCCCTAATTTTTATGAAAATTCGTGTTGATTTCTATGTTGGATTGTAACATAAGCTCAAGTTGATAAAGTATATATTAAGTTAAACGTCATAAATTTCACACCAAATATTGTCGGGATTGTGATTTCAAGTCAATAAAAAAACTTGACAATAGCAATAAACAATATTCGAGGGAAACACAAAAACTTATGTCTTTTCTATTTTTTGCTCTCTTTCTTCCTATATTGACTTGTATGTCATCAATTTTATTTTTTTATTTTTTATTTCTATTTTTTCTTTTGTTTTAATAACATGGTTGTTTTATGGGTTTTTAATATATTTTTAATTTTGTTTTTAAAAATTAACATATTTTTGAAAATATTCAAAACAAGTTTTAGGTCTTTTAAATCTTTTTAAAAATAATAATACTTTAATCAAGCAGATAGGCTTATTTATTTTAAATTAAAAGATAAAAAATAGAACAAAAAAAAAATAATAATAAATATAAATAAAAACAACTGCGATCCCAAATAGCACCAAAAGCCTCTTTAGCATTACTTTTTTCAGGATTCTCCATATAGCTGAATTATTTTATTTTGACTATTTTTGCATCCCTGGAAGCTCCCCACATACTCTATATATACATTTTGTAACCATTTACATTTTGAAGAATGCAGTTATGTCTTTTCATTAATCATCTGTGTTTAGTTTCTTCCTCTTGCAGGGTTAATTGCTTCTGAAGCCTTTCTCCTTGAGCTCTATTAGAGTATTCATCCCTGCTGGTCTACGGTATGCATTGATCTCTATTTTCTCATGGCATCAAAGCTTGCCTGCTAGACTATCGGTAAGCTCCCTCTTTATTCTCCACTTCATCCGGTCTCTGCTATGCATATAAAAGAATCTGCAATATCAGAATCCAACCCTTTATTTCACTGACCCAAGCCCTCAATATACCACCTCCCCTTAAATTTCTCACATCCCTCCTCAAATCATATCATCAATCTTCACACTGTCGTTGAAATCTAGTCTACACGTAAACGCAGACTACAACCCGCCAAAAGATCAAGGGTGATTCAGCTAAAGAACGAATTACACCATATATTTGTGGGAGATTAAACGTTGGGGCAATACTTAATAAACATTCAAATCATAGTTGATCAAATTAATGTTGCGGGCTCCAAACTGGATCACGAAGACGTTATTCGATATACTCTCAACGGCCAACCTCCAACTCACAATGCTTTCAAGATAGCCATTCGAACATCACTTCAATCCATTGCTCTCGATTATTTTTATTCTCTTCTATGTAGCAAGGAGATCAATATTCATAATGTAAACTCAAGGCCTGTAACTTCCACCGAAAACCATATGGCATTGAAGACCCATGCAGCAAACAATACAAACAACAATCAAGAAAAAGGCTGAAATCAATCATCAAATCAGCGAGGAGGACACTTCAAACATTCAAGAGGAGGAAGGACACCAAATAGATCCAACGTAATATGCCAAGTATGCAATAAAGCAGGTCATTCGACATCGATAAGTCGGAATCGAATGAACCTTCTCCCCTCCATCTCAAGGTCTCAATGCTACCTCTAGAGAGTGGATTCTTGATTCGGGGGCAACAAGTCACTTCACATTAGATTTGAACCAACTCCAACCAGCTACCGCATACTAGCGAAATCAACACGTGATGGTAAGAAATGGGCAAGCGGTTCCAATTCAACCCAAAGGAGACAATATCCTCCCTACTCCAAAGCGTAAGCTCAAACTCTCTCAAATACATTTGATCTCATGGCTTTGTCATTTCTGATCCTCAGACTCAATAGACTTTTCTCAAGGACCTCAACTCTAATGGACTATCAACCACATGCATTTACTACATCGATTTCCAAATTACAACAAGGTGATTTGTGGCATCAGCACTTGGAATACCCACAATGAAATATTATGGCAACCATCTCCAATAGTCATCTTCTTATCACTCCATCCACTTCAACTCCATGCCATAAATTTCAACTCACAAAGAGCCTATTTGTATCTAGTATAGGACAACATTACAAACTATTTGAGGTTAATCATAGTGATGTATAGGATCCTTCCCCAGTTACTTCTTATCAAGATTATAAATACAAAATTACTTTTATTGATGACTTTTCCAAAATCTGTTCGGTATTTCCTATATGTGCAAAACCTGAAACAATAAACAAAACCATAAATTTTATCAAAGCAGTTCAACGACGATTCAAAAATTCAAAATTCTTTCACAAACGAGGTTTCCATATCAGCAAAGTGGATCCATCTTTGCTACTATATAATCATGACAATGTTCGTATAATTGTCCTCATATATGTAGATGATATACTTATTACAGGAAACAACTCACAGAGGATATGTCAGCCGACTGCAACTTTGGAGGTCTGTTTTCAACTTCGACACCTTGGGTCAATAGGATGCTTCTTGGGCATTCAATTTCAACAACACTCACCAATACTTCTTTAACCAACAATGGTTTGCGCTTCATCTTCTTACTTTGGCTGGATTACAGGTTGACCCTACTACAAGCTCTCCCTTTAATAATCCAACTCTCTACCATTAAATAAACAAAGCAATTCAATACCTTAGGATGACAAGACCCGATATTGCTTATGTTTTTAATCGTCTAGGCCAACATATGCACGTGCACACTACCTCCGACTACAACCAACTCACTTATTTACTTTGGTATCTAAAAGGGTCCAGTCATTTTGGTATGTATATGATACCTGACAATCTACAACTTACTGCTTATGCAGACACCGATTGGACTGGGAACAAAACAGACTAATAATCAACAACTTGCGTATGCTCATTTCTTGGAGACACATTAATATCATTGCAAGTGAAAAAGCAGTCCACTGTTGCTCAGACTTCCACGGAAGCCGAATGTCGAGCACTTGCCAAAACCACAATGAGTATCTTATGGCTCTGAAGTCCCATTGTTGAATTCGCACCAAGCTTACGTCTCCATAGCCTCACTACTACCGGGATTCTCCATATAACTGAATTATTGTATTCTGACTATTAAAGCATCCCTAGAAGCTTTCCGCATTCTCTATATATACATCTTGTAACCACTTGCTGTTTGGAGAATGCAACTATGCCTTTTCCTTAATCCTCTGTGTTCAGCTTCTTCCTCTTGCAAATGTAATCGATTCTGAGTTCTTCTTCCTTCAGCTTTATTAGAGTATTCATCCCTGCAAGTCCACGGTAGGCATTGATCTCTATTTTATCAAAATTAAAACATAAACAAAACAAAATAAAAGCAAGAAATAGCAAACAAAAACAATACTATTCCCATAGCGAGCCTAAGCGAATAGAAATTTTGGAGCAAAGAAGCATATAAGCATCTTAAGAAATGGATGATTCTTCAACACCAAGTTAATTCCATTCTTATTCTATTTCTAAATTTTGTTAAAAAAGGTTGCACAAATCAATATTACAACATCAAAACATTACAAGAAAATAAAGGTCACTAAAATAATACCTCACCTTACTTAAATACAATGCAGTTCTCAGCCTTAAAAAACTAGCAAATTCCATTCTTCAAATGGTGCTAAATAGCCTCTTCCACATACTCCATATCCTCCCATTCCATCAAAGCCCAACCAGACTCCTTCCTCAAACCCAACTTCCTCATAAACCTCCTCACCTCCTCAACCTCCTTCCACCTCCCCATCTCCACATATATATTTGATAACAGGACATAATGTGCAGCTTTTTCCGGCTCCAACTCCACCAACCTCCTCACCACAAACTCGCTCAAAACCAGCTCCTTTCTCGCCCTCGAAGCTGACAACAAGGATCCATAGATGACCACATTAGGCTCAAACGGCATAATCCGAATACATTCCACAGCCGCATCGAGCAACCCTGCTCTTCCATATAGATCCACCATGCACCCATAGTGTTTGATCCCTGCTCTAAACCCAAACTTTCCTCGAACCAAAATGTCGAAGATCCTCCGCCCAGACTCCACCAACCCCGAGTGACTACAAGCTGTGAGGACTCCGACAAGCGTGACAGCGTCCGGGCTCACACCTTCCTCCTCCATCTTCGAGAACCATTTCAGCGCCATGGCCCCTCCTTTCGAAAAGGCGAAACCTTGAATCAGTGAATTCCAGGTAAACAAACTTCGTTGGGGCATTCTCAAGAACACATCGAAGCCGGCATCGACGCAGCCGTATTTGCAATACATGTCAACGAGAGCTGTACCGAGAACGACGTCAAGCTCCCAGCCAGCGTTGGTAGCTTGGCGGTGAATCCATTCGCCGAAATCGAGAGAGGCGCCATGGGCGGCGCAGGCGGCCAGTGCGCTAACCATGGTGACGCGGTTCGGCGTGATTCCAGAGAAGTTCATGCGCTCAAAAACAACCAGAGCATCTTCCGGGCGGTCCGCCCGGGCGAGGGCGCCGATGAGGGTGGACCAGGCAGCTACCCCCTTTAGAGGCAAATCGTCGAACAGGTGGAGGGCAGAATCGGAGGCGGAGCATAGAGAGTAAAAGTGGAGAAGGGAGGAAGCGATGTAGGAGTCTGAGAGGAAGCCGAGCTTGAGGATGTGGGAATGGAGGGAGAGGCCGGAGTGGAGGAAACGGAGGATGGAGAGGGATTTGAGCAGGAGGGGGAAGGTGTGGTGATTGGATGTGAGGGAGGAGAGGTGCATTTGGTGGAATATGAAGAGTGGGGCAGAGGAGCGGAATGGGAGAAGAGAGCGCATGAGGGTGTTGCAGACGAAGGGAGGAGGCCGGCGGAGAAGGGAGAAAAGAAGAATGGCGGGTCGGGGAGAAAGCAGGGAAAATGAGTTGGAGATGAAGGCGGCGGAGACGGCGGAGTTGAAGTGGAGACCATCGCGGAGGATGTCGAGGAGGAGGTAAGGGAGTGGATAGGAGGAGGTGAGTGTGCAGAGGTTGTGGAGGATCCGGCGAGCTGCTGGAGAGGCAGTGGTGGATTTAGAGCAGAGGAATTTTCGGGCCGTGTGGGAGGGAGATGGAGCGGCCATTGGAAAATTTTGGCCATTGATCATTTATAACATTTATTTTATAATTTTATATTTATTTATTAATAAACAATTGATTAATAATTTTTAAATTGTTAAATTTATATATTTGTGTTTTTTTTTAAAATCGTACAAATTAATACTAAAGTATTTCCAACCATTGGCTGCGTGATTTTCCTTCTACTTGTGTGTGGTGTGGGGATTTTGCCCCTCTTCCCTTTTGGATCATGTTGCTCTCTTCACACTTGACACCATGACACCATACTTACATGAATCAGAAATGTCTCCTCTCATCTTATCGAGAGCATATTACTTCAGGACTTCGAACGTAGAGATACATACATTCGGATTCTAATTATCGTTGTGTCATAAGAATATTCCGCTGTTACAGGAATATTCCATCAACATTATTTGTAAAAAATGAAGTGTTATTCGAGTATTGTGTAGGACTTCGAACGTAGAGATACATACATTCGGATTCCAATTGTCGCTGTGTCATAAGAATATTCCGCTGTGTTACAGGAATATTCCATCAATATTATTTGTAAAAAAGAAGTGTTATTCGAGTATTGTGCGATGTTATTCGATTACTTTGCGGTGTAATTGGAATATTCCCCCGCATTATTTGATTTAGGTTGTGTTATTCGACATGTTCCTCGTGTTATTTCAATTTCCATTATATTATTGGAATAACACAATCCCGAATCAAGTAACGCTGAAGAAATATTTCAATAACACTTCATTTTCCAAAAATAATGCTGATGAAATATTTCTATAATACAACGACTATTGCAATCGGAACGTAGCTCTACGTTCAGAGTCCTTATGTAATAATTTTTTCATCTTATGAACCAATAAAGGCAAATTTTAACTTATCTTATATCCCTTATTAGTAGGAGAAAATTTAGGAGAAAAAGTCACTTTTGTTGTTGAGGAACCGAATGAAGATTCTCAACAATGTTGATTAACTTTCATTGTGTTAAGGGTCGGCAATTCATATTTTACTTTTAAAAAGATAGTGAAGTAATATTATTGATGTGACGTTAAAGATTTAAATGATATGTATTTAAATATGAATGTTTAAATATTACATAAATAAATAAATAAAAATGTGCGGTATGCGTCTAAATGCCCCATTTTTATTGACATTTATAACTTCTCCATCATAAAAAATTGTTTACATAAATAATCAATACTTTCTTATATATTTTGATGATTGGATAATATGCATAGGTGCAGTGTCCTCACATCTTAAGGTGATGAGAAATTTTAATCCTACATTATATTTTAGAGTTGATCCTTTAATAATAAATTTACATATTTTTTATTCATTTAAATATGCATTTGGGGCAGCTTGTGTGTTTCAGGATAAACAACTTATCCAGAAACACAACCCGTGGGCCGACCGCGGGGTTCGACCCGGCGGCTTGTATTTAGTGTAAAAATGGAATCACATTTTTGGATAAGCGGACAAAACGCGCGAACCAAACAGTACCGCGAGTACCGCGGTGTTTTCAAAAACGCCCCCACACTTATAAGCGGCTCCAAACGGGACCTAACTCATTGTGTTACTACACGCATTATGGGTTTGTTTCTTACAATTATTAATTACTCTACAAATTTGAACTCAAGAGAAAGTTTTAATCACAAGTATTTTAATTAAATTTCAATTAGTATAAATTTTAAAATTATTAAATTTATTTAAAAATAAATATAATATATAAAAAAGTCAATTAAAATGCATATTAGGGATTGGTAGAATGAGTCAAAGTTTATCTCTGCAAGGATTGTAATATATATTTAATTAATATTATTTTAATATTAAAGCAACGTCAAGAATTTTGATACTCTTTCTAATTAAAATTTACATATTTACCACTTAAATTTTTCTATATTTATATATTTTTCACATAAATCTTTTTATTTGCATACTTATCACTTAAATCTTTAATTTTACATCAAAAATAATTATATATTTTTTTTTGTAAAGTTAAACATTCCTTTTTCATATATATATATATATATATATATATGTTATATATATATTTAAATGGGAAATATATAAATACATATAAATTAGGTGGTAAATTTGCTAATATTTTCCTTAAATTTTAGCGAGAATTTTCTTACAGTTATTGTAATTTTTTTGCAACTGAAAAAGCCGTTTGCGCATCTTCCCCATTTTCGTCTTACAGGGTAGGTGTTGGGGTTTCCAGTATTAAGGGGGCGAAGCGAGATTGCCGAACAATTAGCCAAGATTTACTGTAATAGTTCGAAGATGTGGGCAGCATCGTGCTTGGCCTCCTGCTGTGCGGCGTGTGCCTGCGAGGCGTGCCGGTCGGCGGTCGGGAGCATCGGCCGGCGTTCCGCCCGGATCGCCTATTGCGGCCTCTTCGGGCTCTCACTCATCGTCTCATGGATCCTCCGGGAGATCGCTGCTCCCTTATTGGAGAGCCTTCCGTGTATCCTACTACGAACATCTCTCGGAAAACCCTAATTTTATTATCTTTTTCAACTTCTGTCATTTTATAGAGTCTAAGTTTTTTGATCTGGGGATGTTTTTAAGGGATCAACCACTTTCAGAAGACGCCGGATAGGGAGTGGTTCGAGACGGATGCGGTTCTGAGGGTGAGCCTGGGGAACTTTCTTTTCTTCACAATTCTGGCTGCTTTAATGATGGGGATTAAGAACCAGAAAGACCCACGCGATCGTCTGCACCACGGCGGGTGGATGGCTAAGATTTTCTGCTGGTGCGTTATTGTATTCCTCATGTTCTTCGTACCCAATGGGCTCGTGAGCTTCTACGGTGAGCACTTATAAGTTTATTTTGATTCAGGACATGCTAGTTTGTGATTGTTTTTTTCTTTTACATGTATGGAAGTGAAAATTCTTTTTATTTGCAGATTGTTGCACTGATCTCTCCAGTTTTGTCTGTAGCTGTAGTTTTTTTTTCCTTTTCCTTTTTTTGAATAAATGTTTCAGTAATAAAATTACTCTCTTTTTATCTTTTCATTAGGCAATATCTACCGAATCGCGTTGTTGACTCAATACACTCTATCGTGTAGAAATTTATATTAAGGCAGCCTGGGATGTATTTTGATTTTGAATTATTTGATCAATATAGTTGTTGTAGGCTCTGTTTGGGGCTAGCTGCAGCTTTTCAATAATCTGTTAATAGATAACTAATTCAGATAAACGCTAATCACCAGCTAATCTAGATAAGCTGGCTGGTTGCTTGGTTTGTGCGTTTGAAAAATAGTTAATTTGCAATTGTTTCTAAATAAGTGACTATTCTGTCTTTGTGCAGTAGTACTGTTTGCAACAGAACTGTCATAGCGATACATTTGATACTTGAGAAGAAAAAAATCAATTCAGAACAGTAGAAACAATAAGATTCTCACATAACAGTGAGTATCAAGTGTACTAAAAAAAAAAATCCAGTCTCAAGACAACCACAAACTAGGCAGAAAACACCCCCCATCACAGCTCCATCACAACCCCCACATAGCCATAGCCCAGTCCCAAGACAGCCACCAACCAGGAAGAAATCACCCACCATCACAGCCACAACCTACCCCCATCACAGCTCCATCACAAACCCTACATAGCCACAACCCAGTCCCAATACAACCATTAATCGGGCAGAAACCGCTCTCCATCACAACTCCATAATCAAAGAAAAAAAAAAAAAAAAAAAAAAAAAAAAATCCACGAGAGACTTTTCAACATGGGTAATCCCTCACATCGTTTTCCCAAAGAATGACATTTGATCAAGCTATTAGAGCATAGTCTTTATTAACTGATTATAATAGGCAGAAAATATCATAATAGCTATGTTAATGGGCTAACATTAGATAATGCAGCATCAAGATGACAAGTCAGCTTGCATCACCAACATCTATCCAAAGGCAACAGTAGAGAGATACACACACATAAGAATTGTTGGAGCGCATCTAGTCTAAAATGTTGCTCTTTGGTAGCACATAGAAGAGAGAGACACACATCATACCTTTATAACTGCATTTGCCAACAAATATTATAAATTCAACATTTGAATTTTTGCTTCCATTAAACAACATAAGAATTGTTGGAGCTGCCAACAAATATTATAAATTCAACATTTGAATTTTTTCTTCCATTAAACAACATAAGAATTGTTGGAGCGCATCTAGTCTAAAATGTTGCTCTTTGGTAGCACATAGAAGAGAGAGACACACATCATGCCTTTATAACTGCAATTGCCAACAAATATTATAAATTCAACATTTGAATTTTTGCTTCCATTAAACAACAAAATTAAAGTCTGAAGAACATTCATAACCAATTGTTCTCCCCATTTCTTTATCAAATATCTCATTTATCAAAGAATCAATTTGAAGAAGCACTCTCAAGCATGAAACAACCATAAACCACCAACACACACAGTTAAGTCCAACACTCAAGTCCAACATTCAACACCCAACCAAAGGCAGCAATTGAGAGAGAAAACACAGAAAAGGAGAAAGTCAAAAAATCACAAAAAAAGCCATACCTTTGAAATTCACCACAATAAAGAGCATATTATTACCCGGATATGATTGCAAATTTCTCATAGCAAAGGAGAAAGCCAAATAAGCGCACAGAAGCCATTCCATCGAAAATCACCACAAGATAGGCAACGATATTACTTACAGAGCACCATAACCACGGATCACAGAGAGGAGAAAGACAACAATCAAGAGAGATGCGTGAGAGAGGCGTGTGTGAGGGAGCCCTTGTTTGGTGATCGATGCCACAGAATGAGGGCAGAGGAGAGGATCGAAGAAGCACCTAGGGCACGAGATGAGGGCAAGCGATGGGAGGGCAGAGAGGTAAGAAAATTCCTCCAAAAGCGGGTCATGGGGTTGAACTCACGGCCGGCGTTTATTACAAAACAATGCAGACAGAGAAAACAAACGTGAAACACACCAAAGACATGGCTGCGTTTTGAAAACAAACGACATGGCTGCGTTTTGAAAGAACTCACGGCCGGCGTTTATTACAAAACAATGCAGCCTACATTTATTATAAAACTAGACTAGCGTATCGTGAAACACACCAAAGACGGAGAAAACAAACGACATGGCTGCGTTTTGAAAATTTATTATAAAACTAGACTAGCGTATCGTGAAACACACCAAAGACGGAGAAAACAAACGACATGGCTGCGTTTTGAAAATTTATTATAAAACTAGACTAGCGTATCGTGAAACACACCAAAGACGGAGAAAACAAACGACATGGCTGCGTTTTGAAAATGCAGACAGATCCGTAGTTTGACATGGATTTTTATGTTGATAATGATATCTTGTTTTAATTTTTTTCTTGAACAATTTCTGGTGTGATTTTTTGTTGTTTTTATTCAGTTTAAAATGGAAGTATTGGGCTTTGGGGAGTGGGAGAGTTGGTTAATATAGTTTTTTATGATGTAGGTTCAATTCTAGCGATACTAAACCTAGAATACTAATGATTCTGATGTGCAGTTGGGAATACAGGACATCAGCATCTTAATTAAGGGGCATTTACATACATACCACCAAATTCTTATGTATTTACATATCTAACTCCAAAAATTTATTTATTACATTTTTTGCACTCAAATATTTTATAGATATCTAACTCCAAAAATTTATTTATTACATTTTTTACACTCAAATATTTTATAGCACATCAAAAATATCACAATTTTAACTTTTAAAAAGTGAACTACAGGTTTTCAAGCATAGGTAAATTGGCATATAGGTAAAATTTTAAGTTTTGGTGTTAGATATGTAAATACATAAGAATTGAGTGGTATGTATGAAATCTTTTCTTAATTAAATTTAAATCTAATTTAAATTAAACAATTGATTTATATTATGCTATCAACTATGTGATGGAATGTATTTCATTTTGACAATGGGGATAAGTATCGTGTAGGAAGGAAGAACAATAAAAGAATGATACATGTTGTTTGTGGTCTTTCAAATAGGCCCTTATGCCTTTGTAAATAATTTTGGTGCAGTTTGAAATACAGGTAAAAGATCTTGTTATCTTCATTAATTTTCTAATAGACCATCTTTATGATTCGCATATATTCATATTGAAATTCTTATTTATGGGTACTTGTTTCCAATATGTAAATTGTATGAAATGAAATGCATGTAAGGTGTGCGAACTGAAATTTTTGTTGCTCTTAACATTTTAGAATATTATACACTACATTTCATATATATTAATAATGTAAATTTCGTGGGATGGGAGCGGGTGAAGAACAAGGAATTGGAGGACTTTATTTTGTTATACATTCTATGTAATTTAGTCGTATAGTTATAATTATGAGATTAGATGAACCGCTATATTTTAAACTGTCCCATCTTATCTGTCTAATTGTAGTAAAAAGTTAATTTTTGTAGTGAGTTTGTGCAAATCCTTAAATTGATGTCATATATCTTGTGAGTTATGTTTCTCATGACTTAGATGTGAAAATAGCTTTTTTGGATTGGAAATGGATATGGTTGTGAATGAACCACTACACCTGGTTAACAACTTGAACTCGACTTGATTAATGTCTCAAGCAAGCTTGTTCAAAGTAGTAGACAAAATAAGTTTACATTTCTTAAAAAATTAGGTTAAATGAACCAACCTTGAATATGATCTAGTTCATTTATTTATATTTGTGAACAAGTTTATTTGTTGATTCATTTGTTATTCAACAATCTGTTAAATGTTTGATATTGTTTGGATTGGATGTAGATCATTGAATTCAACAATCATTATAGATTGCATACATATGTGAGTATAGGTGTCTAGTGATTTTGTCGATTATTGTTCGTAGACATTTTGAGCTTAAAAAATTGATTTTTGATATTCTACTTCTATAATCTTACAACAAACTATGGTTTCTTTCAAGTCCCTTGGTTAGGAGTGGTGTAAATAGTCATTATTTTGTGTTACTTGACACATTTTAAAGTAAACGATCACCTGAAGCCTTGCACTCTGACCAAAGAACCCAAAATGGTGCATTCTAATGTTTAGACTGTGATGTTGTCTTCGAAGATCTTATAAATAAGCTTATAGCTCATCTTTAGCTATAATCATTGAGAGATGTATTCTTCTCCTTCCATGATCCTGCCAAATAGAAGTGCTAAAATGGTTATTTGTGTCTGCCATAGCGCAAGGTACTGTTTGTATACTTCTAGACATTTTCTTAGCAATATTACTTCTGATTGTATATTTAACAGTTGGAATATTAGAAAAACGACAACTTTGGTGTTTCTTAGTTTTATTTTTTATCTTGATATCATGTATCTTATCGTGAATTGTGATTGTTTAAAGTTTCATTTTTGGTAAACTATACCGACCAATCTAGTGTTGCACTAGAGAAAAATAAGTTGTATCATGCCATCAGTTAGTGAAGAACTAAACAACTTATCCATGCTACTATCAAGATTGTTCTTGATAGTAATTGTGGCATTCCATTTAAGGGTGTCAAAAAGTTGACCCGACGACTATCAAGATTGTTCTTGATAGTAATTGTGGCATTAAGGGTGTCAAAAAGTTGACCCGACATGTCAACTCGACAAGAACTCGATTCGAAAAATTTGGGTTTGGTTGATCAAAATAATTTTTTAGTAAGGTTTGGGTTAAGAATCTTAACCCATTTAATTTTTTGGGTCATTTTGTGTTTGGAATCTTAACTCATCTAATTTTACAGGCCATTTTGGGTTGACACGCCAACCCAAAAAGAGCCCATCACTTGAAATTGACTCGAAATTGACCCCCAACACAAAATGACTGAAAATCCCTAATTTGATCTAAATAATTGCTATGCCTAATATTTTTTAGGTTGGCATTTTTTACCTGTTTAATGTTCGTGTCGGGTTC